TAATGGTTGTGGGCTTGGAGGTGTCATCCTTTGGTGAATTTTGCAGTACCTCTTATACTCATTACAGACTTAGCATTGGTGGAGGAGGAAATGGGTTTTCATGGATGTGGTACCAATCAAGTGGGCAGCTTTTTTCCTGGGTGATCTCAAGCTTCTTGAGTGTTGTTGGTGCTGCATCCAGGCAAGTGGGATGTATTCCATCACACTCTTGACTTGTACCTTGTAAATGGTGGACAGGCTTTGGGGAGTCAGGAAGTGAATTTTTTGCTGCAGTATTCCTGGACTCTAACTTGTTCTTGTAGCAATATATCTATATGGCTGGTACAGTTCACAAGCTTCAAAATCTCCCCTCCCCCTACCGCATCCCAAAACCAGCCCAGCTCGCCCCCGCCTCCCTAACCTGGCCTTCCTCCCACCTATCCCCTCCTCCCACCTCAAGCCCCACCCCCATCTCCTACCTACTAACCTCATCCCGCCCGCTTGACCTGTCCGTCCTCCCCGGACTGACCTATCTCCTCCCTAACTCCCCACCTACACTCACCTTTACTGGCTCCATCCCCACCGCTGTGACCCGTCTGTCTCCTCTCCACCTATCTTCTCCTCTATCCATCTTCTATCCGCCTCCCCCTCTCTCCCTATTTATTTCAGAAACCCCTTCCCCTCCCCCATTTCTGGAGAAGGGTCCAGGCCCGAAACGTCAGCCTTCCTGCTCCTCTGATGCTGCTTGGCCTGCTGTGTTCATCCAGCTCTATACCTTGTTATCTCAGATTCTCCAGCATCTGCAGTTCCTACTATCTCTGAAACAGTTCAGAATCTGGTGGATGGTAACTGCACAAATGTTGCTCATGAGGGACTCAGTGATGATAATGCCATTGACTGCCAAGATGGTTAAATTGCTTCTTATTGGAGATGGTCATTGCTGCACAAAGTTACTTTCCATGATGGCTCACTGGTTAGCACTGCTGCATGACAGCACCATGGACCCGGGTTCAATTCCACACTGTGTGTGGAGTTTGCACATTCTCCCTGTGTCTGTGTGGGTTTACTCTGGGTGCCTCAGTTTCCTCCCACAGTCTAAGGATATGCAGGTTAAGTGGATTGTCCATGCTAATTGCCCGCAGTATCCAGGGATGTGTAGGTTAGGTAGATTAGCAATGGGAAATGCAGGGCTTCAGGGATAGGAGTGTGGCGTGAGTCTGGCTGGGATGCTCTTTGGGGAGTTGGTGTGGACTTGTTGAGCCAAATTGCCTGTTTCCACACTGTAGGGATTCTTAAAAAAGTGAAATTTCAGCCCAAGCCTGATATTATCTCGGTCTCACTGCATTTGGACCCAATCAGCTGCAATATCTGAAGAGTTGCAAAAGGTGTTGGATTTTGTGCAAGCATCAGTGATCATCCCCACTTCTGACTTTATTATGAAGAGAAGGTCATTGAAGAAACAGATAGTTTGGCTTAGGACACTACCCTAAGGAATTCCGATAGAGCTACACTGGAGCTGAGATGGCTACATCCAACAATGACAACCATCTTCCTTTTTGCTAGGCATGACTCCAACCAGCAAAGAATTTTATCCCTGATTCCCATTGACTCCAGTTTTACTAGGGTTCCTTGATGCCACACTGGGTTAAATGGAGTCTTAATCCTTAGAGCTGTTACTTTAACCTCACCTCTGGAATTCAGTTCTTTTGTCCATGTTTGGACCAAGGCTGAAATGAAGTCATGAGCTGACCTAGCTCCAGTGGAACACAAACTAAGCATCAGTGACAGCCTATTGCTGAGCAGGTGCTGCTTTACAGTACTATTGATGGCACCTTCCATCACTTTACTAGTGATTAAGAATAGACTGATTGGACATTAAATTGGCCAGATTGGAATGCTGCTTCTTTTTGTGTACAGGAACATATAGTACACATTTTTTTTTTCACATGGTTGAGTAAAAGCCAGTGTTGTAGCTGTGTAGAACATTTTGGCTGAGGATGCAGCAAGTTCTGGAGGGCAAGTCTTCAATACTGTTGCTGGATGTTGACAGGGTCCATAATCTTCGCTGTGCTCACTGCCTCATGACAGTAGTGACATCATCAGAGACAAATAACCTGTGATTTTGCCAGGATGCCTTCTAAAGTATGGCCATATTGGATACGAGATGAGTTGACATAGACAGAGAAAGGCAAAGCACGGTAAGAGGTTCTTGAGTTACCACTAAGTTGATTTAGGAGCTATAAAGGACTATGGGAATGATTGGAGACACCAGTGGTGTCAGTATCCATGGGAAATAGATGGCTAGGCATGGAGGAATAGGGTGTCATAGACAACTGAAGGTCTATGGGTGAAGGGCAAGGGTAGGTTGGCACAGAGGGTATGAGGGGCCAAGGGATATGGGTACACAGACATGGGTTAGCATGGAGTGTATGAGGCCATGGGGATTGGTACAGAGCATTAGGTGGCGTGGGCTGGCAGGGATGGAGCATGGAGACCAAGTGGTTGAAAGCAGGAAGGATGCTTTTGTGTTAATCTTTATTTTTAAACTTTGAACACAATGCCAGGCTGTCTTTCTATAAAACTCACCTCAGAAACCAAGACCTTCCTCCAATATTGCCAGGCTGTCCTGCCTGAATCACAACTAAATGTGCCCACCACAGACCCAAATTGGGAAGCACAGATGGCCATTTTTAAAGTTTGGGTTCGTGGTGTTGGGATATTTTCCACCTCTGTGTAGCTGACTTGGGAATGAAATCTGCGGGGTTGGGGGGTGGGGGAGGGGGGGCAAATTTCAATGTTCCCCTATATCAGAGTGAAACAGAGAGTCAGTCTCATCAGAGTTCTGTAGTTCTTTTGTATTGATCCATCTTTAAACAAAGGCATGTTTCAATTACCTAGATGCCTGTGAATGACCACATTTATTGAAATATTCTCTTGAAACTTTGGACTGCCTGGGGCTTCGAGCACTGTGTTCAAAGCTTTAAAATAAAGATTAATTCACAACATGTCCCTCCTGGTTTCAGGCTCTCACACTCCATGCCTCATCCATGCTAACCCATGCCACAGCTGCCAAGGGTCACTTGATTTACAGCAACCATTTTAACAAACTGTATGCATCCAATTTTTGAAGTGCTGACTGAAAGTTCATAACATAATGTAACAGATATCGCTTCTCACTTCTGATCTCATCCTTGTAAATCTTTTTTGCCTTTATCCATCCTCATACCCATTTTATAAGATGAGGACTAGACTATGTACAGGAGTTGTCGAGACATGTAAAGGTATTTATATTTTTGATCAGCTTGTTCAGACATGTTATGACATGCCTTCTGGTGCAGGTGGAACTTGAAACTGGACTTCAGAGATGAAAGGTAGGGATGCTATCAGCGCATTGTAAAATCCCTTAATTTTTCTAGGTGGTCTTCCATGTATTAGCCAGGCTCAAGTCTGTTTAGCTTCAGTTATCAGTCAGGGTTAGGCATTTTCAGACTAGTATGACCATAGGCTTTCCAGATATATGTATGTGTGTTGTTTGAGATGTAATTTTGCAGGAGGTTTTGTTTGCTTCATTAACCGATCAAGATGATCTGTAATTTTATTATTTAAAAAATCAACAATCACCTATGACACTAATAAGTTTAATTGAGTCATTGCAAACAATAAGAATTGTGTGGGCTTGGAACATTTCCCTATTGTTTGAGCGGAGGTTTGAATTGCTGCCAAAGTCTTGGGGGTTGATATTCTCTTTGATCAGTGATGGAAGACAGATAATAGCAGAATGCCTGCCCATCATAAATTTCTCCCACCAACCTCCTCATTCAGTACCCTTTCCAGTTAAGCCAAAGGTATAATAGGCAGCAGATCAACTCCTCCTGATGCTAAAGTAAATAGTGTTGACAGTTCTGAAGAACTTGCTTATTCTTTCTCCTGATACTGACTGATTCACTCTGTATTTTCAGAATTTCATGTCTGTGTTGCAGACTTTCAGCTTATTTTTTCAACATTAAATTTTTTAAAGATTTGATTTGCCTGAGAATCCAATTTACTGTTTTGATTTTCCAGGCCAATTATGATTACCTGTGGTCATGGGAAGGAAATTTCCCACAATATTTTCTCCCTAACTTATGCCTTTTAATATTTTAGTCGATTTCCTTGCCTTTCCCCGGAGATTAAATTATGTTTAAAAGGCATTGTGATTCACAAGGTATCACATCTTTAAGGGAAAGGTTGCCTAGATGAGTGGGTCTTTTCCCATCCTTTATCAATCTTGTATTCGTAATCAAAACCCTAGTCATCTCATCTCTTTGGAAGATAATTGAGCTTATATGAGGAAAATGTATAAACTGAATCCAAAATCCCTTCTAGGCCAAATGGTTGCAAATCATTTAAATAATAAATGGAGTAATATTGCTTGTGTAGATCATATCAGCAAAGATATGATGGACTTTTTAAATATGTAATGAAGAGCACTTTTTCATATTCTGTGTAAGACAGTGTAAGAAAAAATGCATTTGAACTTGTGAAATGTCTTTTATGTCCTCAGGTTTTTGCAAAGGACTTCATAGCCAGTGAATTGTTTTTCAAATATGGTTTTGCAGGCAAACATTGAAAATAAAGCAAAGAAAACTTGCACTTATATAACATTTTTCATGATCAAGTTACAGCCAATGCTGTATCTTTAAACTCTCCTCACTTATAACTTAGGAAATGTGACAACAATTTTGCACACAGCAAGCTATGACAGCTTGTGGTAATAATAATTAGGTAATGTGCATATATGATGATAACAGAGATAAATATTGACCAGGACATTGTCGATAATTTCTCTGCTCCTTGAAAATTTCATTTCAAAATGAATGGTCTGTTTGGAATCTTGGTTTGATGTTTCATCCAAAAGGCATAATGCTTGAGCATGCAGTTGTCCCTCAAATTTTCACTGCAGTGTCAACTGTGCTTTTGTGCTCAGGTCCCATAAGTGACAGTGCACCCAGCTGAATAATGGCTGACTTATTGTATTGCAGAAATTCACATTCATCAGTGAAATAAGTGATTTGTTAGCCACGTTTTTGGAGGTACAGAGTAAGGGATAAGGGGCCCCCAAGACATCAAAAAAACATCGGCCTGGATTTTCAGATGAACAGACAGATGTTTCTAGCAGAGAGGGGTATTACACTTGGGGGACCTTGCAAAATCCCTCTCGTACCACTCGCTGAAGGAAATTACCAGGAAAATAAAGATTCTGCTGGACAATTCCCTTATGCCTGGAAGATCTGAAAGTCTCCATTTAAATCGGAGACTTTGGAAGCTTCAGATGAAATTGAGTAAATATTACCTAATAAAAGTTAAACTGTTGAATATGTAGACTAACTCCTGAGTAACTATTAAACTGACCCCATCCACACTCTCAATTCCACAACCTCCAGATTATTTACATACCATTGCCTTGACACTGCTTTCACACCCCTGGATCTGACCTCCCCTTCACAACCAGGACCTAATCTCTCCCCTCCTTCACTCTGCAGCTGAATCCTGTTCACTCACCAACAACTGAATCCCCTTCAACTCCAAGGACCAATTCCCACTTCACTTGTTCCAGATTCGATCCCCCCACAATCCACCTCCAGGAACCCCAGCACCATCCTTAACACACTCTAGATTTGACATCTCTGTTCACCCACTTGAGATCTACTACCCCTTTCTCTGCTCCGTACCAGCTACCCTTATCTCATGACCCCCCACCCTTATCACCCTACCAGCGCAATCTGAACTGTTTTACAGTCCTTTCTCCTGCCAAAAGACTGCAAACCCTCCAACTCAAAACCCACCTTTCCTCTCCCCCAAGGAATTTGACTTCTCTTGCTCACCTCAATCTAGCCAAAACATTGCATCACTTACCTGGTCCCCTTGCCTCCCAGACCCTGCCCAGCTGGTATCCTACTAACCTGGCAGCCAACATCCCATATCCTGCCAGCACGTTACCCTCAATTCTCTTCAAAGTGCCTGGTTCTCATTCTGGACCTTTAATTTATAGAATACAGCAACTGACCCCTGTGTAAACATGTCACATTTTGCCCCCCAGTCTCAGTTCTTGCTATGAAAGAACTGTCAGATGGAAGTATGACTTTACATTTAAGAAGGAGCCCTGATCAGAATTGCCTATCAGAAAGGCAGTTCTCTCCTCTTGTAAGATAAACTATCCCACTTTCTTCTTGTTTCATATGCTGCCTAACCTTTTATAACCACCTAGAAAAATATTTGGGGCCTTGGTTAAATGTCACATCTGAAAGACGGTGGGGTCAAATTTAAGCTAACTGAGAAATGCACAAGATGAAGTGCACATTTGATTCTGAACTCTCCCCACTTTTAGTCATGGATTTCAATGAAGGGTAAATTCAATATCCTGGCAATCTACTGACAGGTAGAATGGGTCTTCAGTACTTCTGACAATGTGGCACTCCATCATTCTATACCTAAGGGTCAGACAAAATTGTACATTGTATAACTTTGCTGATTAGAGAACTTTTATTACATAGAATTTGCATTCATTGAATGTGGACAGAGAGATAGGGTAAGTTTGTACTAAGTCACTCTTTGCTTTTCTTGTAGCCGTTATATTTTTGAATAGAAATAACTTTTTTTAAAAAACAAATAGAAGCAAATTCCTTTCGCAAATCTGAAATAAGAACAGGGCACACTGGTAACACTCAGCAGATCGGCCAGCATTTGTAATGAAAGAGAAACAAGCTAATATTGAGATGAATTTTAACTTAGTGTAAGAGAATAATCTTTCAAAAGAGTTAAAATTTATTGTTCAGCCTTACATCAGACCTCCATATTTAATGTTGGCTAAATGTATAAAGCAAATTATGAGTATTATTGGCTCAGTATTCAAATATTGAGGTAACTTTTCAACTATTTTTCACATTGCTTTGCAGCTGATCTCTAAGTTATAGTAAAATGCAATAGTGAAGCCAAGACCCACATCAGTTATGACACCTGAGGCAGTTTCTGATGTGAGCAAAGATTAGTGACATTGAACAGGCTGATATATTGTGCCTTGGGAATTCTGAGAGCAACTTATTTGTTCCTATTGAGGATTTCTTCTTAAAAATAGGAGTTGAGGACACCATAGATAAGGGAGGTGTTATGGACCAGACCAGACCTCCTCAAAATATTTTAAGAAGGTAGCCTAGACCCTAACATTTTCTTACTTTTAAAGACAAATGTAAAGTGATGTGTTTCAGGTACAATTTGACTGGTCAAACTACTTGACGTTATTCAAAACACAATTTATTCAAACACTATAGTTAAAATACAACAAAAGAAAGAAGAACTTAGAATAACTTAGCTCTATTGTAAAACATAACAGAATAATAGATAAGGTAACTATTACTGATTAACTGTTCCAATATAGTAACATCCCATAAACACACCTCTTGGCAAAAAGGCGAATTCAGAAATCAGATTTTCTCACATGCAATGCCTGCAGTAGGAAGAAAAATCCCAGTTTCTAGCCATTACCGAGAGAGGGGAAAAATAGCTTCTACTTCTTCAAGGCTCCAGCAGCTTCAGCCGAATCTAAAAGCTAAAAATAATACTGGAAATCCTAGCCTGTGACAGGTGGCCACGGCCATCGAGGCTGCTTCTATTATTCCAACTTTAGGAAAAACCTAGGGCCTCGCACGGTGTTTACGCTACCACAGACTGCTCGACACATCTCATTCAATCTCTCTCAAAAAAGAAACCAGGAGAAAATATATCTCTTACAGCCACACTATCATCACAGAGAAGCAGACAGAAGTCAGGGATTACAAAAGAAAGAAATGAGTGATGAGAGAAACAGATAGAGAAAAGTGTGCAAGTGAAGGAGAAAGATGTAAATAAGGAATTGAAAATAATAAAGGTAGTTGGTACTTGAACTGTAGTGTTGAATTGTTACTCTGACTCAAAAGCAATTTAATCATAGGCAACCCATTCACCAGCTATGGTGCATCACTCTGGATGGTTGGAAACCCCAATAATCATCTAACTTTTTATATAACAAGTGATTAGTGATGGCACCACAGCCATTACTGTTGTTTATACTTAATTTCTTCCGGCAAAGGGCAAACATTTACCGAGAATGAGTTGACTTTAGTTGCCAAAATAAATAGTGCAGTAAAGCAGCAAGGATATTATTCTTTGTAACTAAACTGTTAAAGCAACACTCCAGGCTACAGCTCTAGTTACGTCATTGCCATGAAGATATGGTTCATGCCCAGATCATGGTTTTAACCATCAACAGGAAACATGAATTAAACTTCTAATAACAAACATTGTTTTAAAACTCAGATAAAAGTGACAGATTTCATAGCCAAGGTGGCGATCTAATTTTCCTTATTGTACATCACTTTCTAATTCCACTGAGATGGGGATGGGATCTGCAGAAACCAGTCAAAAACAATGTCTTCACATGAGTATGCATGAACCATATTTACTTCTCCATGAGTACAATGCCCAGATTCTCAGCTGAGTGCAGACAAACCATCAAAGCACCCAATCAGTTGAACAATGTGGGCATGGCTATGTGAGGAATTCCTGTAACCTAATCAAGTTACAATTAGAAATACAATTGTGTTTGAATTACTAGTCAGTTTTAAATGGATGTCACGTGGCATCATAATCCTTTGTGTGTTTAAAGAGCAGATTTTCTCTGTAGAATTGAACAAACAACAGAGAGACAGAAAGAGATCATTCCTCCCTCTTGCGTCTGTTAACCCAACTCATGAACGTTTGCCCTGTCGGCCATTGACTCTCTTTCTATTTTCAGCAGACACAAACTTTTAACGAATGAACTCAACTCCACAGCTCTGTCTCTATTAAATCAAATAGATCATCAATCACCATCACGGTTTTTAATTGTCTTGATGCTAAAAGCAGAATATCACCAAGAGAAAGCAAAAAGACCATCAAAGTTTGGCTGAAGCCAGCAGAGTCTCAAAACTACAGATTTAAAACTTTAAACTTTTATGGATTTTAATTTTGCAATCCTGTAATCTGTATTTGCGTGTGTGGAACTTCAAGGTCACACATGTTTGTGTGAAAGTCGAAGCATGTTTTATTATTTTACTTAGATCAGTTCAAGTATAATAAAGCTAACCTCTTTTATTGTTGAGCTCAAGAAAATTATCCAATTGTTCCTTTATGGTCATAACACATAGAAGGTTAATGCTAATTTGGCAAATGTATCCCTTTCACAAAAAAAACCTGTTGTCAAATAAGTAGAGAGAGAAAAGATTGGAAGCTATTCTACCCCTGCTTACCTGGTCATAACGTAATGAACAAGTAAGTAGTAGTATGTGGTACAGAGTTATATAAGTCAAGGACATCTAAGGTATTGATGATGGACCCCTGATTTGTGCTGTTCTACATGATGATAGCAATGTGGAAGTTATAACATATCTCTGCATAAATAAGAAAAATGGAAAATACTCAAAATACCCAGCAGAGTTGGAGCATAGGCTGTAGGTTCACAAAAACAAGGTAAGGAAAGAAGGATAGGCAAGAACAGAAAGGAAGGTCTGGTAGGATGGTCAGCATGACAGGTTGAATAACCAAAGGTGCAATAATTGTAGGCAGTGTGGGATGGTAATGGGACAAGTAAATACTTCGGTTGTTGGTTAAATATTCTGCTAGTTCTCATTGTTTAGGTTTATATGTAAGAAGAGTGGTAACATTTGGCTGAGGTACTGTTGATTTGAGTAATTCGATTCTGATAACATTCACTATTTAAGAGAAAGTAAAGGAATAAGATTGGGCAATGATTGAATAAAAATGCAAAATTTAGAATTGACACCACGTTCATGAAAATATGACTTGAGTCAATTTACATTTTTGTTATGATAATATCAGTGTACTTGGCATAAAAATGTTTTCCATTGTCATTTATATCATTGGGTTATGTGTTAACAAGCACAAACCAAATTATCCACTTATCTGTTCAAATGAGTTTACAAAGATTTTGGCCCCTCTTTGTCATGCTGAAAAGATGTTTAGAAAATATATTCCTAGACAGGAGTTGTCATCATTTGATCCAGAGATAGTAGGAACTGCAGATGCTGGAGAATCTGAGATAACAAGGTGTAGAGCTGGATGAACACAGCAGGACAAGCAGCATCAGAGGAGCAGGAAGGCTGACATTTTGGGCCTAGACCCTTCTTCAGAAAAATGAAGAAGGGTCTAGGCCCAAAACGTCAGCTTTCCTGCTCCTCTGATGCTGCTTGGCCTGTTGTGTTCATCCAACTCTATACCTTGTTATCATTTGATCCATATTGTTTCCTTTGTCATTCAAAGTGATCATCTGATAATGTGATAGCACCTTGACATTGATTGCTCATGCCTGCAATAAGAAGGTGTGTGAATCAGCAATAAAGATTCCTCATTAACTTCCTCATCTTTTTCAAGTATTTATGGTTAGACCGTTGATTGCATGTGACATCACTGGTGAAATTAGCCATGATTAGTTACTGACACCTATGACACCTGGGAGCTTGAATTAACTTGGATAATTCGAACTCAAGTATTCTCCAATACTTTCTAATGGTATCTATTCCCTCAAACTGTCAGTATCATTTCTTGAAGCCACTGTCATCATTGATACCATTGTTTAAATCAAGATTAAAAGAAAGTCAGCAGAAAATAAACAAAGTAAACTAAGGACACATTGATCACAAGGTGAGTAAGTATTTGATACGTGAAGATTATTTAAGAGACAATGAGAGGAAGGGAAAGAGAAGGCACCTATGGACAGAGCATTCTTAATAATTGTAGCAAAAAGTCAATCCAACAGCCCAGAGAATTAGAGACAACAGCAAAAGATGATGTTGAGCAGGGATCAAGCTTCTAAAAGATGCATTTTCATGATAGCATCATTGCTATTTTTGCCCAAGTTGTATTTGATCAGGTGCTACACTGACCTTTTGGAACGTCTGGAAAGTAAATGTTATTTCATTTCCGATAACCCCAGAGGAAACAGATTATGAAGTTCGACATCAAATGTCAGAGAAATAAAGCAACTAAAAGTTCAAATCAAAAAACTAAGAGTGGTGTAGTTAAATTATTTTCATGCTTTTTTAATGGTGTTCATTATAGTGAAATATGTGCACAAAAGAAATAGTTTTTTCCCTGCGTTGCAAAACTATGTGGTGTATGAACTTATTATAGCACAAAATAGAAGCATTGAGAGTCAGTTGTTAAATCAACCACAAATAGTATTGTAACTTAAAGTGGCATAGAACCAACATTCCTCTGGTGATGTGTTAGTGAGATAAATGCTAAATTAATGCAAACAGAGTAAAGATCAAAACTCCAAATTCAGCAACGATGCAGTAAAATGTCACAACACATTTAAATAAACAAATAAGTGGAGCCATTACCACTGATATAGGAGGAAGAATTCAGCATTAAATTATTTGGATTAAACTGTGACTTCCTTAAAAAAGTCTAATAAATCAGTTAGACGTGATTTCCATTTTATGAAGCTATACTGACTCCGCTTAATTAGATTACAATTTTTTCAAATGTTCTGCTCCTATTTCCTTGATAATGATCCCAATACTTTTCCAACAATAAATGTTAGGCTAATTGGCCTGCAGCTACCCATTTTTTGCCTCCCTCTCTTTTTGAGTATGAATGTCACATTGGTAGTTTCCAGTCATCTGGTATTTCTCCAGAATCCAAAGATTTTTAGAAAATTACAAACAATGCATCTACTCCGTACCTACCTCTTTAAGGATCTTAGGATGCAAGCCATCAGGGCAATCAAATTTAAGACTTCATTAGTTTGTTGAATGTTACTTCTCTGCTGATGGTGCTGGTACTTAGTTCCTCTCCCCAATTCTTTATTAGTAGGATTTTCAGAGTATCTTCCATCATAAAGCCTTATGCAAAATATCTGTTTAACTTTCTGACCATTTCCTTAGTCCCCAAAACAATCTCCCGAGACAACTTAATACTCTCCTTAATGTCCTTCTTGAGCCAGGGTTTATTTATCCCTCTTTCAGAATCTTTCCTCCTTACTGTTTTATCTTTGTCATTCCTGCTAATCTATCGCCTGATTCACTTCAACTGACTCTACCCTCATTTCGTTGTCATGCTCTTTATTTAATTTAACCACAGTTGTTTCCACCTTAAGTTACTAATTCTCAAACTAAATATTAAGTCATTATTTCCTAGCAGATCTTTTACTCAAAGCTGATTTAATAACCCTGCATCATTACCCTATTTAAGTCTCCTGCTTCCTGCTTGGCTCCATGACATATTGCTGTTGGAAACTGTCCCTAATGCTCTCTATGAATTCATTGTCATAGCTACCCTTTCCAATTTGATTATCCCAATCAACATGAAGATTAAAGTTATTCATAATTATTGCTGTGTTCTTTTTATATGCTCCTACTTAATGGTGCTACCCCACCACCTTTTCCACCCTCCTGTCTTTCCAAAGGATCAAATATCCCTGAATATTAAGTTCCCACTTTTGATCTCCATGTAACCATGCTTGTGTATAGTTATGAGATCATAATCATTTACCTTGATTTACACCATCAGTACATCTACCTTATTTTGAATGCTCTGTGCATTCAGATACAAAGCTTTTAAATTTGTTCTGTGATCAAATTTCCCTGAAATTTTATGCTTTCTTGTGGAATATGACATTCCTTCCTTTTATTTTCTGGTAACAATCAGATCCTTCACAACCCTGCAATCTACCTACTCCTTTACCTTTGATTTTCTAATTTTCCATACAACTGGGCCTAACCACATCCGCCCCAGCTCACACTATTTAGATTAAAGCCCTTTGCTCAGCTCTATTTATCTAGTTGGCCAGGAATGTGGACCCAGCATGATGCAGGTGGAGCTCATCCC